CCATTTATCTATTGTGGGGCATCTGCGCTGTTTCCATATCTTGGCTATTTGTAAATAAAGTGGCAATGAACATGGATGTGCTGGTGTCCTTATCATACCCTGGTTCATGATGCAGGGTAGATGTCAAGGGGTGGTATGGCTGGGTCTTAGATATGTCTATATTTAGTTTTTTGAGGAACCTCCAGACTGCTTTCGAAAGGGGTTGTAGTAGTTTACATTCCCACCAGCAGTGGGAATATCCCTGCCAGCATTTGTTGTTCAAATTAAACATGTTGGCCAATATAACTGGGGTAAGATGAAATCTCAGAGTTTTTAAATGTGTATTTCCTTTATGGCCAGGGATGACGAGCATTTCCTCATATTTCTATGTCATTCTTACCTCTTTTTCTGAGAAGTCTCTCCTTAGCTCCATTGCCCATTTAGTGATTGGATTAGTAAGTTTGAGAGGGATTAGTTTCTTAAGCTCTTTGTATAAATTAGATATTTGTCTGATGTATTGCTGATAAATATCTTTTCCCAATTGTTTGGCTGTCTTTCTAGTTTAGTAACTATGTCCTTAGCTGTGCAGAATATTTTTATTTTGATGTAGTCCCATTAGTCAAGTCTTTCTCATATCTGTTGGGCGCACTGGACTCTATTCAAGAAATTCCTGCCTATATAAGTTCTAATGTTTCTCCTACTCTCTCTTGCAGTAGTTTCAGAGTTTCAGGTCTGACATTCAGGTCTTTGACCTACTTTGAATTGATATTAGTGCATGGTGCCAGATGCACATGGCTTCCCAGTTTTCCCAACACCAATTGTTGAAGAGGCAATGTTTTTCCCACTTTATGTCATTGGCTCCTTTGTCAAATATAAGCTGTAAGTATGTATTTTATTTCTGGGTCTTCTAATTTGTTTCATTGACCTTCAGGTCTATTTTTATGCCAATACCAAGCTGTTTTGTTACTATATCTCTGTAGTAGAGTTTGAGGCCTGGTATTGTGATAACATCTTCATTGTTTTTTTTTTGCCTAGAATTGCTTCTAGGTCTTTTGTTGTTCCATATGCATTTTTGGATTGTTTTCTCTGTATCAGTAAAGAATGTCATTGGGATTTTAATAGGATTTGCACTGAATTTGTTTGTCATTTTTGGCAGTGTGTCCATATTCACAATATCCATGAATATGGAAGGTCTTTCCATTTCCTGGTGTCCTCTTTGATTTCTTTCTTCAGATTTTTCTAGTTTTCACTATAAAGATTTTTCACATCTTTGGTTAGGTTAATTCCTAACCAAAGGTTAGGTTTGAGGTTATTGCAAATGGAGTTGTTTTCATGATTTCCCTTTCTGCTTGTACATTGTTGGCATACAGAAAGGCTACTGATTTCTGTGTTCATTTTGTACTTTGGCAATTTGCCAAAGTAATTGATCAGCTCTCAGATTGTGAGGGTGGAGTTTTTCTGGCCTTTTAGGTATAAAATCATGTTCTCTGCCATAGGGATAGTTTAATTTCTTCTTTCCCTATGTGAATCCCTTTTATGTCCCTTTCTTCCTTATTGCTCTGGCTAAGAATTCCAGAACTATATGGAAGAAGAGTGGAGAGAATAGGCCTTGCCTTATTTCTGATTTTAGGGGAAATGGTTTTAGTTTTTCCACATTTAGCATGATGTTTGCTGTTTGTCTGTCATAGATAGCCTTTATTGTTTTAAGGAATGTTCCTTCTATTCCTAGTTTCTCCAAAGCTTTTTAACATGAATCGATATTGTATTTTGTCCAAGGCCTTTTCTGAATCTTTTGAGATGATCATGTGGTTCTTGTCCTTGGCTCTGTTGACATGGTAAATTACATCTCTTGATTTGTATATATTAAACCAACCTTGCATCTGCAGGATGAAGCCTACTTTGTCATAATGCATTGTTTTTTAAATTTGTTTCTGCATTCTGTTGGCTAATGAAGAGCTTTGCATCTATGTTCATCAGAGAAGTTGGTCTGTAGTTCTCTTTTATTTGTTGGATCCTGACCTGATTTGGGGATAAGTGTGATATTGACTTCATAGAATGAGTCTTGGATTTCTCCCTCTGTTTCTATTTCACAGAAAAGCTAGAGGAGTATTGGTATTAGTTCATTTTTAAAAGTCTTACAGAATTCGGCAATTAATCCAGCCGGGCCTGGGCTTTTCCTTGTTGGAAGACTTCTGATTATTTCCTCTATCTTGTGGCATGTTATTGGATTGTTTAGCTGGTTTATAACTTCTTGGTTCAGTTTAGGCAGTTTGTATGTTTCTAAAAATTTGTCTACTTCTGCTAGCTTTTGTTTTTTGTTTGTTTTTTTTGGATCCGGTTGTGGGGCCTGAACTCTGGGCCTGGGCGCTGTCCCTCAGCTCTTCAGCTCAAGGCTAGCGCTCTACCACTTGAGCCACAGCGCCACTTCCGGCTTTTTTCTTTTTGCTTATGTGGTGCTGAAGAATCGAACCCAGGGCCTCATGCATGCAAGGCAAGCGCTCTACCACTGAGCCACCTTCCCAGCCCTCTGCTAGCTTTTGTGAGTATGTGTTTTGAAAGTAGTCCTTTATAGACATTTACATTTCTTGGCTGTTTGTTGTAATGTTTCCTGTGGCATCGCTGATCTTACTGATTTGAATCACATCTCTTATCGTTAACCTCACTAGTGGTCTGTAAATTTTATTAATTTTTTCAAAACAAAACCCTTTTTTGTTTCATTGGTTTTCTAGTTTTAACAATTTTGTCTTTTACTATTTTACTGTTTTCTGAGTGTTAATATAATTCTTGGTTTTAATTTGGGAAACTTTAAAGCATACACTCTTTTGGGTAATTTGTAGTATCTATTGTCTTCGATACATTTTTATCCTTATAGATGAAAGAGAATTTCTTTGCAGTATAAAAGCTTCATGAGAGGAAGGATCATGTCTATTTTTGTTTATATTATGCTAAATCTAATGCAATAGTTGATTCAAGTGCTTAATACATCTATGTAATTTTTATTTGTTTACTTTTGGCAGTATTGGGGTTTTAAATTCAGTATCTTGCACTTTCTAGGCAGGTGTTCTATCAATTAAGCCATACCACAAGCCTTAAATGCATAATGAATGAATGAACGAATGAATGAAACAGAAAAGTCTCAGGCAAAGTTAAGAGACATTTTGGAATCAGGCACCCATGTACCCATGCCTATAATCTTAGCTACTCATGAGGCTGACAGCTGAGGATCACAGTTCAAAGCCATCCTGGGCAGGAAAGTCTTATTATCTCTAATTCTTATCTCTAATTAGCCACCAAAAGCCAAAAATGAAGAGATGATTCAAGTGATAGAGTGCTAGCCTTGAGTAAAAATGCTAAGGGATAGTGCCCAGGTCCTGAGTGCAGGCCCAGTATAAGAAAAAGAAAAAAAAAAACATTTTGGACATTGTGATAACTCCTAGTATTGGAAAAATAAAAAGCAATACAAAGGATGTCTTGGAGAAACATTATAGCATTATAAAAAGTTTCTGTTTCTGGGGGCTGGGAAGGAGGCTCAGTGGTACAGTACTTGCCTTGCATGCATGAGGCCCTGGGTTCGATTCCTCAGCACCACATAAGCAAAAAGAAAAAAGCCGGAAGTGGCGCTGTGGCTCAAGTGGTAGAGCGCTAGCCTTGAGCTGAAGAGCTGAGGGACAGCGCCCAGACCCAGAGTTCAATCCCACGACCAGACCAAAAAAAAAGAAGAAAGAAAGAAAGAAAAGAGCCGGGAAGTGGTGCTGTGGCTCAAGTGGTAGAGTGCTAAACTTGAGCTGAAGAGCTGAGGGACAGCGCCCAGGCCCAGAGTTCAGGCCCCACGACCCGACCCAAAAAAAAAAAAAAAGTTTGTTTCTGGCAGGTACCTGGGTACTGTGGCTCACGACTGAAATCCTAGCTACTCAGAAGGCTGACATTTGAGGATCGCAGTTAAAAGCCAGCAGGAGACTCTTACCTCCAATTAACCACTCAAAAACTGGAAGTGGCACTGTGCCTCAGGTGGTAGAGTGCTAGCCCTGAACACAAAGAGGCTTAGGGACAGTGCCCAGGCAGTCCCACAATCGGCCAAAAAAAAACAAAAAAAAAAAGTTTCTGATGATCCTTCTAAATTCAACTGACTAGCCTCATGTTTCCTTTTTGTTGCTCAGGGCTCTGTACCTCTTCATACAATACATAGACTGCTTTTTCTGAAGTGCCCCCATTTAAAGTTCTTTTGTCCTCATAGCTCATGCCTAGAATATTAGATACTCAGGAGGCTCAAAGGTTAAAGCTAGCTCTGGCAGAAAAGTCTTTAAGACTCTATCTCTTAAGTAATCTGCAAAAAGACCGAACTGCCAAGTGCCTGTGGCTCATGTCTATAATCCTAGCTACTCAGGAGGCTGAGATCTGAGGATCCAGGTTCAAAGCCAGCCCGAGCAGGAAAGTCTGTGAGACTCTTTATCTCCAATAAATCACCAGAAAACCGTAAGTGGTGCTGTAGCTCAAGTGGTAGAGGACTCGCTTGGAGCTGAAGAGCTGAGGGACAGCACCCAGGCCCAGAGTTCAGGCCCCATGACCACCAACAATAACAACAAAAAGGCCAAACTGGAGACACCAGCTGTGAGACCAAGTTCAAGTCTCAGTACCAACACACAAAAAGTAAAAGACCTAGAGAATGGCTCAAGTGGTAGGGTATTTGCAAGTAAATTAATGGCAATGAGTTCAATCCCCAGTATTCCCCACCCCATAAAAAAGAAAAAAACAGCTTTAAAGAAAAAAACCTTTAATTTCTTATATCCAAAGCAGTGTTCATTATACATATATAATAATATATGTTTATGTATATATAAACATATATATATATATATATATATGTCATCCCTACCATTCAGAGATAACCATTTTTAATTTTTAGGTGATGTCCTTCAGTCTTTTTTCTAGGCCTGCATTGATATAAGTTTACAATATTGGGTCCTACTTTTTTCACCTAATTACATATCTTGAAATATATGAGATAGTGCTAAAGAAACAAAAGGATATTTAGTGGTTTTGTGGTATTCACTTCATAGCATTATTCATAGTTTTTTATTAATCCACTATTCTTGAATATCAGATGATTTCTAATTTACAGTATTTAAAACTATAATTTACTTCCAGACCTACAGAAAGATTAAGCCCTGCTTCAAAAGTGAGAACAATAATTTTCTTAATGATTCAGCCTTCAGAGGAACCTACTTGTTTCCAAGGGAAGTTGTTAGCAATGGGAAAATCTTAAATACAATTTGACTGGTATAGTTATAGTATGCTATAGCCTTGAAGTTATTCAACAATCATTGTTATCTTATTTGGATGTACTTAGAACAGTGAACTATCATTTTATATTAATCTCAGGAGAATTTGTTGCATGCTCAAGTGAAAAAAATTTTTAAAATCCTAAGTTTTCAGAAAAACTTAAACATGATTGATTTTTTCTTTTCAGGATGACCTCTCTCATTGCAAAAATCTTAGTGTTTTATATTTATATGATAACCGTATTAGTCAAATCACTAACCTGAATTATGCCACCAATCTAACCCACCTGTACCTACAAAACAACTGTATTTCATGTATAGAGAACCTCACATCATTAAAGAAACTGGAAAAACTGTAAGTGCCTTTAACATACTGTTAGCTGCTCATCATTATCCCTGTACATATTTTATGTAGGTAACTATTCCCAATCTACATTTAGTTGCAAAAGTACATTGGAAATACATTTGAATACGTTTCTCACATGTTTTTTGTGGAACAGGTCAATATTTTTATTTTTATATTATTAATATGAAATAAAGGGCTGGGAAGGTGGCTCTGTGGTAGAGCGCTTGCCTTGCATGCTCGAGGCCCTGGGTTCGATTCCTCAGCACCACATAAGCCGGAAGTGGCGCTGTCGCTCAAGTGGTAGAGCGCTAACCTTGAGCTGAAGAGCTGAGGGACAGCGCCCAGGCCCAGAGTTCAGGCCCCACGACCGGACCCCCCCAAAAAAAATAAAATAAAAATATGAAATAAACAATTTAGGTTTTAGTAAGTGATATCTTTTTTGGGAGGGTTGCTATAAATTGTATTATGGGTTTTTATGTACACCTAAAACATCCTCATGTAGACTTATTTGCCATGGAACCCATATAAATTCTCTACCTTTCAGCATAACTCAACTCAGAAGGTCAAGTTTGTTTCAACTGGGCAACTGGGCATGTAATCCTAGTACTCAGGAGGTAGAGGAAGTATTGGGAGTTTGAGGCCAGCCTGGGACTCTTAAAAATTGTTTAGAATTGATAATCTAGATGTAGATTTGACTGTATGGTGTCATTTACTGCCTATAGTAATTCTAATTAATGAAGACTGAAGGCTGAAGTTTCTCAGATTAGGATGAATACTGTGTTTCTCAAAAAGTCAATGGCCTTAGAATGGGAACACAAAGGTGCGGTGAGGAATGCTTATTTAAATGCAAGTTACTGGTTTCCCACCTAGATCCCAACCTACATCCCAGCTGATTTTCCTATACCCTAACCTAAGAGAAGCCCTCATAGATAATTTAGTAAAGATAACTTCAATTAAAAACATTTTAAAGTGTGTTTTTTTAGATTAAGTCTAAGAATATAATTCATCATTTAAACCAACTTTTCACAGATTCAACATAAATGCCAGATCTTTGCCCAGCTCCATTTGTTATTACACTTTTATCATGCTGAAAGACCATGGCATTCTCAGAAAGTCTATTTAGAACTACTATGTTTTGCAGGTATCTGGGAAGCAATTACATTGCTGTCATAGAAGGTTTGGAAGGAATAGAACTCAGAGAGCTTCATGTTGAGAGTCAGCGGCTTCCCCTTGGAGAAAAGCTTTTGTTTGATCCAAGAACTCTTCAATCTCTGGCAGTAAGCCAAATTTAAATGCTTGACAAGAATTATAGTGAGCAGTAAATGATGATAGAGCAGGACACTGCACACATTCTGCTTGTTTGAGAGGTCATTCAAGACTCTGAGGACTGATTTGTTTTTTTTGTGTTTTCTTTTTCTTGAACAACATCTCAGAGTATGATAGTTACTTAATAGTAACTGGATTCAAAGGAGGATGTAAAAAGGTTATTGTAAACTAAGCTTCTAGTGCAGATGCTAATTAATTCATAATTTGGGTCTTGCTGATGATCATGGACTAAATTTAAACACTTGATGAAAAATCCTAAAGAAAAGGGACCACACAATTATTTGGCAACTTTTTGTTTTGTTTTCATTTTGAACAAAACTCATAGCCTCTCAATCTCACAAGCCCCATCCACTGTCCCACCTCTTCCAAGGGCTGGTGCTGCACCACTTTGCCACACCTCAAGTCTAGCCTTTTTTCTTGTTAAATGAGAATTCGAGTTTTGAGAATTTGTCTGCTTCCCCTGTAGCTAGGTTTACAGGTATGACTCACTGTCACCCAGCCTGGGTTTTGTTTATGAGGCAGGATCTCATCATATTACCTTGGCTGTCCTTAAACTCATTACCCTCCTGGTTGAGGAAGGGCAGGGAAGGAAGCAAGAAGGAAGGGACAGGAAGAGCGAGGAGAAGTGGAAGGGAAAAAACAAGAAAGGAAGAAACGTTACCAGGGGCCTAGAAGTTTGGTTCAAGTGGTGGAATATATGCCTATCAAGTGTGAGATCCTGAGATCAAGCCCAAGTATTACTAATAAATGTCAAAATATGTTTTTACAGCTGCCTATATATGGATGCCTTGGTGTATGTGTATGGTACCCACATTCCTGGGCTTCCAATTTAAGATAACTTTGGTTTAGTATTCTTATATTATTTATCCTGTGTCCTCATTAAAATTATTACTTCAAGTGACTTCAGAACACGTGGATTGTAAAGTACAAACTAGAGAGGTAATGACAAAAATAAAACCCAGATAATGTTGATCATGTTTCCTCTAGAAAATCAAAGACAGAAAAGCATTTTTACCTATGAAGAAGTTTTAGTGACATTTAGCACAAAAAGATAATTTGCTATAATAAACATTTTTCTATACTGTGCTATAAGAAAAAGGAGAAAGTAATATATACTAGAGTTCTAAAAGTTCAATTTGAAAAACTACAGAGCATTGAAACAAAATCTCCATATCTTTTAATTGTCTTACTTTAAGAGCAAAACAAGCAGAAATGATAATTCTTAAACTTTTTAAGAATTAGGAATTCTGGTTCCTACATATAATGTCTAAACTGTTTACTAGTGGTAGTTTATTTTTTCTTGCAGAAATCTCTCTCTATATTGAATATCAGCAACAACAATATTGATGACATAAGAGACTTACAAATCCTGGAGAATCTTAATCACCTCATAGCCGTTGACAACCAACTTCTACATGTGAAGGTAGTATAAATAAAATTAATTTTTAAATATTTGCATGAATTATGATTGGAGAATGTGCTTTGAAATATCTATAATTTAAACAACTTTTTAGAAATTTCTAGATTTGTTAGGAAACTATCTTATGATTCTCTACTTCTTAATGTATGTTTATATATGTTTAATATGTTTACATATAATTCTTCATAGTCTTGCTTCTTTCACCAACAGAATAAAATTTCTCTGAGAAACGATATGCTTTTCCCTTCCACATTATTTGTCCATCAACTCTTTCCTTCTAGAGATTGGGTTTTTTTCCTCTCAACTCTGATATCCCCAATGAATGAATTTCTAAAAACTAGGATTCCACCTCAAGCCTCTCCTGGCTGCTTCTATGTAAAACCTGGGTGTTGAATTAGCTGTATTCATATACTGTCATATTGTCCCATATTCATTCAACTATTTTTTTTCAAATATGGACCAGCCACCTACATATTTGTCACAAACCGTCTCAAAGAAGAAGGAAATACTCTGTTTCAGATCTCAAAAACCTACTGTGAACAAGAAATAAGATTAAAATATGATTCCATTTTTGTAAGCTTGGTAGCTCTAACAGAGCCTAGAGCTAGGAAATGCCCACTGGAAACAATTACCCATATACTGAGCTGTTGCTATAACTTTAACGTTTATGGTCTGGCAATGGGGTGAGGTGTGATAGTCTTCTGACATATAATTGAGATGAAATCTTGCAAACTTTGATGCCCAGGCTATTCTTGAACCACAACCCTTCAGTCTCTACCTCTCAAGCCAGGCTTGAGCCACTTCACCTGTCTTCAAAAATATTTTTCTTATTGGGCATTTTGTATTCGTTATCATATTTTTTTAGTTTTTCTATGATGTTACCATATTTGTAACATAATCTGATTTTCAAAGTAGAGTCTTAAACCAAATATACAGAACATATGATCCTATTCAAACTAGAGTTATAGGGATTTGATCTGAGTAGAGAAGGCCTGGGTTGAATATAGTGGCCCACATTCATCTACATGGGAAATAGGAATGAGGTGATCAACCAAAGACACTTGCCTTTTCTTAAGAAAGAATGGCAGAAAATTCTAATTTCAAATTGGCATCCATCTTAAGTGATGGATAAGTATTTTCCCAAATGTTTTTCTAAGCAATGGCTGGTGAATATATAAATACTTTTTTTTTTTTCGTCAGTCGTGGGGCTTGAACTCTGGGCATGGGCACTGTTCCTGAGCTCTTCAGATCAAGGTTAGTACTCTACCACCTGAGCCATAGTGCCACTTCCAGTTTTCTGATGGCTAATTGGAGATAAGAGTCTCAGGAACTTTTCCTGCTGGGGCTGGCTTTGAACCTTGATACTCAGATCTCAGCCTCCTGAGTAGCTAGGATTACAGGTATGAGCCACCGGTGCCTGACTATAAATACATCTTAAAGTATCCAATTACCTAGTATTACAATTAATAAATATTTCAAGTCTTATTCTACTATATTTTCAACTTTATATAGAGAAAAGAGAATATATACAGCCTTCAAATGATCCTAAATGAAGTTTTCCTATATGACATTATGATCAAGTAACTTTGCCTACAATGATTTACTCTTCAGCATGTTAATAAGGCATAAGTAGCATAAATGTATAAACAAATCTGACAATTAGCATCTAAATAACCAAATCCTCATTGTTTTAAGATTGAATGTAGGACTGGGAAGGTGGCTCAGTGGTAGAGACCTTGCCTTGCATGCCTGAGGCCCGGGGTTCCATTCCTCAACACCACATAAGCAAAAAAGAAAAAAGCCAGAAGTGGTACTGTGGCTCAAGTGGTAGAGCGCTAGCCTTGAGCTGAAGAGCTGAGGGACAGCGCCCAGGCCCAGAGTTCAGGCCCACGACCAGACCCCCCCCCCAAAAAAAAGATTGAATGTAATATCCCCTCCTCTGTGTTGCTTTTCTGAATCACTTCAAGTGGTTCATAATGTTTATTAGTTTCTGAGCGCTTGGTACTATTTTAGGTGCTTGGAGAAGTACTCCAAGGTGCTAGTTTTATCATGATAAATAAAACAAGCAGGGTCTCTCCACTAAGGAAACTTACATTATAGTGGGACAAGGGAGAAAATGGCAAAAAAATACATAAGCAAAGAACACTATAAGGAAGGACTATGAACTAAACTGAATGACAAAACAGAAAAGGGCTCAGTGGATACTTTAAATTAGGTCACCAAGAAAGGGCTCTGAAGAAGTTACAGTTACCTTCATATCTGAAAAAAGAAAGAAAAGCAAAGATCTAGGGCAAGACCATGACAGGCATTAGGAACAGCAAATATGAAAGTTCTGAGGCTGAAGAGAGATTGGAGAGTCCAAGGAACCAGGTTAGTTCACTTTTGAGGGGTTCCAGATCCTAGCTCAGTTTCTGACACACAGCAGATACCCAATAAGTTAATTGCTGAGTGACTAAAAGAAGCAGCAGTCTAATATGGGATTGGAAAGAAGGGAACAGATCCCAGATAATAAAGGACATAATTATGAGTTTTGACATCATTCTAATTACAGTACAAAGTCATTGAAAAGACTATTATTTTTAATAGGAATTTTTGTCTGGTATGTGAATAATAAGGTTCAAGAACTCCAGCAAAAATAGTTGGTAGCTGGGCTGAAAGGTGTGGTTCACATGGTAGAGCATCAGCCAAGCAAGCAAGCCCAGAAAGCATGAAGCCCTGAGAGAGACACAGAGAGAGAGAGAGATGAGAGAGAGAGAGATGAGAGATACAGGGATGGACAGAGAGAGACACAGAGACACACACAGAAAAAAATGAAGGAAGGAAATGAAAAATAAAGGAAAAAGGAAAGAAAAGAAAGACAAAAAGAACAAACGAATGAAAAAACGAGAATAAAAGAAAGAAAGGAAAGAGAGAGAAGGAGGGAGGGAGGAAGGGAGGGAAGGAAGGAAGGAAGGAAGGAAGGAAGGAAGGAAGGAAGGAAGGAAGGAACACAGGCAGGCAAGCAAGCAGTTAGGAAACTAAGAAATGAAGAGAAAATGATTGCTTGGAAATAAAGAAAAGGGGAAGTGTTGGAGGTATCTTTTTAAATAGACAACCATGGAACTTGAGTAGGGTATAGGGATAAAGGAAAGGAAAGGTGAGAATTAAGGGGACCTTGTAGTTTTTGTGTGATAATAGAAGACTTCATCAGCTGATGAGGAGGGGTAATGAGGAAGAGAATCCATTTGGACATTGAATTGGACCTGTCAGGTAGGCATCTGGAGTTCAACAGGGAAGTAAGATTGATAAGTTTGAGAACCAGCAGCATTTACATTCATTTAGTGTAATGGATTGAGTGAAAGAAGATAAAGAGAATAAATGAGGCCTAAGCTAAACACAGAAACACTTCAGAGACCAGTTAGTTAGAAGAGAAGCCTTAAGGAAGAATGGGTGATAAAGAGAAAAATAAGTTTCAATAAAGAGGACAGTGATCACTTGTCTAGAATAAAGTTCAGTAGTTAATATGAGAGAAGATAAGAGCATAATAGGAATATACTAGATCTGGTAATGAGTATGTTTGGTCAAGCATCATGCTTTGTACATGTCTCATAACAGATGCAGGAGTTTCAATTTTCTTGTAACCAAATCCACATAAACTTCTTAACTTTTTTTTCCATATGCTATGATTTGCACATGATTGGTTACCAACAAGTGTTGTGGTAATGGAACCTGGTAGAAGATGATTAGGTTTTGAGGGAGCATATCTCCAGAAGGGATTAACAGAATTCTTGTTTCCTTCCTTCCTACCTTCCTTCCTTCCTTTCTCTTATCTTTTCTTTTTTAAACTGTTTGTTTCTTTTGCTAGTACTGGGGCTTGAACTCAAAGTCTAAGCATTTGTCCGTTGGCTTTTTTGCTTAAGGCTAGCATTCTACACTTGAGTCATGCCTTTACCTCCAAATTTTTACTGGTTAATTGGAAATAAGAGTCTCATGGATTTTTCTATGCAGGCTAGCTTTGAACCATAATCCTCAGATCTCAACCTCCTGAATGTCTATGATTATAGGCATAAGCCACTGGAACCTTGCAAGATACTATTTAAAGTAGCAATAAAAGAACAAGAGAGAATTTAAAATATGATGGGAGCAATTGAATGTTCCATATAAGGATTATACAATAAAAGTGAAGAAATCTTCTAGAAAGAACAAAAAGATTCAAAAATACAAGAGTCCTAGAGAATTAATTCAAGAGTTCCAACATATGACCAATTAGAGTATCAGATTCAGACAGTAAGTGTTGAGGCTATTTGTGCTTATATAACAAAATATTTGACATTTGGTAATTTACAAGAACATGAATTTACTTCCTCTCAGTTCAGGAGGCTGGGAAGTATAAGATCAAGCCACCAGTAATGTCAGGTCCAGTGAGGGTCACTATTTGTTTCCACAATAGTACTTTGTTGTTGCATCCTCTGAAGAGCAGGAACATTGTGTACTCAAGTGGCAGAAGAGACAGAAAGAAAAAACTCATTTATTTATTCATTTTTATGTGTTGGTATTAGGGCTTGAACTCAGGGCCCGAGTGCTGTCCCTTAGCTATTTCACTCAAGGTAGTGCTCTATAACTTGTGCTACACCTCCACTTATGGCTTTTTGCTAGTTAATTGGAGATAAGAGTCTCATGGACTTTCCTGCCTTGGCTGGCTTCAAATCTTCATTCTTAGATCTCACCCTTCTGATTGCAATTACAGGGATGAGCAACCAGTACTCAGTTTAGCTCACCCTTTTAGAAGACATTAACCCATTCATGAGAGTTCCACTAGTCTCTCCTAAAGGTCCCGTCTCTTAGTATACTGTGTAACATAGGTAATTGAGTTTCAATCTAATAAATTTTGGGGGATACATTTATACCATAACAATCAGGGGCAAATGAAGGAAGAAAATTAAATTGAAGAAATAATATAATAGGCATGACTTAATAACCCGGACCAGAATCACCCAACACACACACACAGAAAATATAAATTA